GGCTGGCCTCGAACTCACAGAGATCCACCTGCCTCTGCCTCCCAAGTGCTGGGATTAAAGGCATGCACCACTACGCCCAGCTGCATTATACTTTTTAAATTTTTATTATTTTTATTTTATGTGTATGAGTGTATTGCCTGCATATATGTGAGTGCACCCGTGTCATGCAATGCCGCAGGGGTCAGAAGAGGGCTTCTGATTACCCTGGAACTGGAGTTAAGGCTGACTCGTAGCCACCATGTGGGTGCTGGGAATCGAACCCGGGTCCTCTGCAAGAGCAGTCAGTGCTCTTAACCGCTGAGCCATCTCTCCAGCCCCATAATACGTTATACTTTTCAAGTTAGTAAATAAAGCTGGGAGGCTCAGTCAGTACAGTGTCTGTTGTGTGAAAACCTGAGTTTGGATCCCCATCACAGATGTAACAAGGCAGGCATGGCAGCATGAACCTATAACCTCAGCAATGGGGAATGGGGTGGGGAAGGAGACAGGTGGGTCCCCAAATCTCATTTGCACACCAGCCTAGCCAAATTGGTGAGCTTCAGGTTCAGTGAAAGACACTGTCTGAAAAGTGTTAATAATATGACAGAATACATGAAATCCCATGGGGGGTATGGAGGGGGTGTTGTGATCAGGAGAGGGAGGTCTAAATATGATCAAGATGTATTGTGCGAAACTGGTAAAAATTTAATTTAAAAAAATCCTAAGAGAAAAGAAAAGGTGGAGTGTGATTTAGGAAGACACCCAATGTCAGACTGGGCCTTCATATGTATGCACACACATATGCCTACACCATCCACACAACAAGTACATATACCACATACTACCCACTACACACACACACACACACACACACACACACACACACACACTAAAATGTTCTTTTGTGAGGGAGAGAATTTTCCTCAAGATCAACCATTTTGTGCTGTTGTTTCTTATTGAATGATAAGCATTGGTCTAGTTTCCAGATCCATCTACTGATAACACAAGAGCACCTTTGATAATTCTCTGTTCTTTATTGAACACCTCACCTCACCTCATAAAGGAAAATGCAGTTAAAAATGAATGTTTACTCTGAGTAATAATTGCAGTAAGAATGAGCACTCACCTCATCTTCTTGTGGGGAGTTTATTTTCACATGATATTGGAGCTTAATATTCCTTTGCTCTCGATTAGGATTTGGGTCCCAATGTAAAAGAACTTGAGCTAATCCAGTAACTTTAATAGTGAAATTGACAGGTGGTAGAAGTAAAACTATTGATCCAAAGAAAAAAAGAACACAACGTTCAGCTCTATGCAAACACATTAAAAAAAAAATCCTTCTGAGACACGATCTCCCTATAGCCCCTCTGGCCTGGAACTCACCATGTAGACAGGCTGGTCTCAATCTATGCTCTCACATAGATCCATCTGCCTGTGCCTCCAAAGTGCTGGGATTAAAGCATATGCAATCATGCCTGGCTTTGTAAGGTGCATTTCTGTGTATGGTCCTGGGGATCAAGCCCAGGACCAGTGAGTGTGAGGCAGGTGCTCTACTACTAAGCTATATTTCTCACCCTTGAAATATTTGAAGTATTGTATTATATAGCATACTGGTTTGTTGTGGCTAATTAGACTGAAACAATTTGACCAAAGTTTCTTTAATTTTTAGTTTACCACTCAGGTGTTACCTGTAACTTTTGCATGCTTTATTGAAATATGAACATCTTACCACATCGTTATTCATTAAAGCTGTAATTTTCAAAATGAACATCACTATCAGTGATAGCAGCCTATGGTGTTATAATCACCTTCTTTTTTCATGGTAATGTAGAAAATAGATAAATGGATAATACCAGGGTACAACAAACATGTTAACAGCCATCTCATGGGCCTCTTGGTTCTATCACATATAGTGCAGTGATTCATGGTGTAAAAATTTCTTATTATGAGTCATAGTCAAAATGTATCTGAATAGGAAAAGTATTTGCTTTCAAAAATAAAAAATGCATTTAATTAAAATTCAGTCCCTGTTCATTGTAGAAATGTTACACAACCCAATGAGGGAAAAGAAAAAAGTACAAAGTTTCAGTTGCCATGTTATATTTGCTATGAATTTTTTTCTGGGCACAGATTTATACAACTCAATTTTTCTCACCTAAATCTGGGTAATACTGTACACATATTATGATCTTTCATTTATTCATTTACTAAATTTGAAGAATTTTTCATTGACCCCTAAGAGCCCTTCAGGACTCTGTACCTGCACGTCACACAGGAGGGATTTCCAGGGTTCTCTCTATGCAGTTCACCTTCCATTCCAGTAGTCACTGTCCACTGTGGCTATTCAAATCTAAATTAGCTAACTAAAACCGAAAGTTCATTATCTTAGCAGCACTATTCATAGTTCAAGTGCTTGATGGCCACATGTGACTAGTGGCTAGGGTACTGGACAGTACAGAGATAGACTACTGTCATAGAGCATTCTGTTAGACAGTGATAGGTGGTGCCACCAGATTTCCTCTCTTAAACTCTGTCATCACATTAAACCCTTAGATCAACAAGTTTAAGAAAGAAGTAATAGTTTTTCATTGCTTGTGAGAACTGTTAAGAAATCCCTGGTGTAGAAAGAAGTCATATGTGGCCACCAGAGTCAATGTTCAACCATGATGCCCACACATACACTTGGAATTAGATTTCCCACTACAGCATCAAATTTAAATTTCTGTTAACATTGCTTTCTTCAAATACATCTGGAGTTCATACTTTACTTGTCTTATAAACATTTCACAATTGAGTGCTTATTTAGAAGAAAACACATTATCCATTTACAATATACCTTAACAAACAGAAACATTAAAGAGATGGTCCTTACGCTTTTTGTCGGGAAGTAAATCCACTTGCAATGTTGCTGTAGCCCCCAGAAGAATTAGAAATACAGGTACCACGATGGTCAAATCCTGCAGGAGACAAAGGAAACAAATGTCCAGGTCATCCTGTTATCTCTTCTAAGAAAAGCTGGTAACCCCTTTGTAACATAATAAGATGCAAACAATTGTCCTTTTAGCAAACACTATGATTCCTAGTGCATGCTGGGAGCACAAACGTGTTGGGCTTTGCTACTTGATTGTAGATTCATAGTCTATGGAGCCATATGACGTGTAAATCAATAATTAGTTGAGACTGCCCATGTGGTGTGTTTTGGGCACTATAGGCACAAAGAGATTTTTGATTTGATTCTTAAAGGGTGATCTAGAATTCAAACACACACCAAGGGAGACAGGTATTCCAAGTAGAATCCACTGATCAAATGTACAGAACTGGAAGAGAAGCAAGAAAACAGGAGAGGATTGATGTTTGGGACACCAGAGCAGGTCTCAGAACAGGAGATGTTCTAAGCAGTTAATAGAAAGCAAAGAAATTCCTGTTTTTGTTAATGTTTATTTAAATATGACTCACAAACTAGTATCATAGCCTGGCAATGGAGTAAATATGTAAGGCCTTGGGTTCAAGCCTCAGCACCCCTCCATAAAAACTCAATGTGACAAGAAACTTAAATTTGCAACGATTTGTGAGAAACGACAACTTTGCTTCATGAGTCCAGGATAAATTTGGACACTGACAGTGGACAGAGAACAGGAATTCTAGGATAAGTGAATGTGGAAAACCAGAAAAGTCTCAGCCCTTCCTGTCTACCTCCAAAAGCTGTGGAGACTAGGAACTGGAGACTAGGAATCAGTTTTTTCCTCTACAGATTTGAAAAATTTTTCATAGGAGCTCAACTTTAAGGACAAACAGTGCACATGGCCTCCACCTGTGGCTTGTTCCCCTCAAAAGTATTACGTTTATTTATCTATTGGTGTGTGTGTATGTGTGTGTGTGTGACTCACACCACAGCATTTTTATGGCAATCAGAGTATAAGTTGCAGAATTCGGTTTTCTCATTCTGCTATGTGCATCATGGGGATCAAATTCAGGTTACCAGACTGAGTAGCAAGTGCTTTTGGCCAGTGAGCCATTATACCATTCCCCCGCCCCACTTCTTTACAAAGTAGTTCTGCCTGCTTACTCTCAGGTTGCTACTGAGGAATTCGGTACCTAACATATATGGCTGTTATTCATAAAGGAAACTTCTTCCACAAATAGCATTCCTAACTATAAAGGAAATAAGTCAAAAAGTTAAATAATTTGCCAGAGTGCATGAAGCTAGTTAGTAATGGAGCTTGGATCCTTTCTCAGATGGTCAGACAATGAAATTTATGGTCTGCCAGACCGATAGTAATTAAAGTGACTTACAGGGCTGGGGTATAGCTCAATGTGAATGGCTTGCTTAGCATATGAAGACCCTAGGTTTCATCCCCGGCACTACCAAAATAAAAACATGGGGGAAAAAGAATTAAATAAGACTTAGTTTTTACTTAGAATTATTTAAAGTATTTGGTGTTTTCAAAATCTAATCCCAGTAGAACCGCAGGGGAGATTTTTCATTAAATGAGTAAATAAATTCTGAAAAATAGCAGCACACTTGCTTCATTATTTCTTCTTATCGTATGGCTTATTACTGAACACTGCTATTACCAGTCCACTAGAAAAACTAAATGACGGTCACAAAATAGTAGCACATAGAAGTCATTCAGTTCTTTTTTCCAGCTAAGTATTACTAATCCGAGTTACGCCACTTTTCATAAAAATAATCCTGTTGCTTTTTCTCTCATATTCCACCCCTAGTGAAATACTTTTTTTATCCTTAAAAACAACTTTATTAAGAATTTAAAAAATTAAATTAAAAAAAGAAATTCATACATGCATATAATGTGTTTTGATCAAATCCATGCCCACCCTCTCCCCTCCAACACCTCCCATATTTCCCCATTACTTTTTTCTGACAACTTCGTGTTTTCTGTCTGTCTGTCTGTCTGTCTGTCTCTCTCTCTCTCTCTCTTTTTTTAAATGGGGCTTTTTGCTATTCTAACATTACCCCTCTGAGAAGTAACCCTAAAATCTTTTAGGGATTAGATAAGAGCTCCCAAATACTTTTGACATTTGTGGCCTTTGGAACAGAGTATGTTGCTAAGAGGCCCAAGGACACTTTGACTTTTAGCCAAGAAACTGGCCACATTTCTTTGGGATCTTTTTTACCCTAACTGCCTAGGCAATCCCTACCTCCTATTCACACCATCCTCTGAAGAGATTACCCAAATTTCTGATAGGGAATCAGGACGCAGTCCGCTCTGGCTTGTTCCATACTGAACAGGGACGCAGAGTGAGGCAACTGGGATACCCTTTCAGTGGGTCTATCTAAAAGACTCCCAAATTGCATAACTCGTGAAAGAATTTTTATACCAAACATGATCATGACAACAAAAGCAGGTACTCTAATATTTTTGTGGGTTTTTCAACAAGTCAGGCTCTTAATGAGTTAAAGGAAAGTATTTGTAATTGGCTACACCTGAGAAGCTCAGACAAAATATCCTTAGTAACAACAAAGGCCACTGCTTCTGCAAATTATCCAAGTGATGTCTTATAACATCCACATTCCCTGAAATGATATGACCTAACTCCACTGGTTTCCATTAGCAGGAATTCTAGGTCAGAGAAAAAAATAATATTATCCAGTGACGTTTACTGACTGATAAAACAAGAGGTTATTATAAAACCATGCTTGTAAGAATGATAAATATCTGCTTATCCTTTGCAATTAAACTGTTAAAGTAAATAATGACCTTGTTGAATATCTCAGTGGGGAGGTAACTGAATATTTTACATTAGTACTCACCCTTCTCTAGGATTTACCATATATTCTGATTTTATAATGGAAAAAAAATAGAAGTCTTTTCTAAAATTTGATTACTCAAAAATTTTTAAGTTTTTGCCAAAAATGACAAAATGCTTTTTCACATCTCCTGATATTTTCTATTCCATAACCAATACCTTTGAAAAAAAATCATTTGCCCTATGGACAGCACAAGGTATTCAAATAAAAGTATAAATACTACAAGGAAGAACAGATACATTTCACCTAAGGCTTAGTACTACTGGAGCTTGAACAGAGTCTGGTGATTCTGCCGACTCTCTCCCTAACACATGCCTAGCCTTGGTTTGTGCAAGGCCCCTAAAGTGTCTGGGCCTCTTGCTGAGGTAAAAAAGGCTCAATTTCTTTAGCCCTTGTCTTTAATCCAAAGATACACTATTATCAACTGAGTATATGTTATATAAAAATATAATTAGCTTTATCTATATTGTCACTATATATATATACATATATATATATTCAACCCATTCTTCTGGTTATGACTTAAATTGGAACAAAATCATTGAATTGTTGAAATATGATGCAAATTAAGAAGAATAAAACAAACACAGGTTGCCTACCTACATTCAGTCAGAAATACACTCTTCGTCTTTGAAAAGTTAAAAGGGACTTGTTCATGTGGCGTTTCATTAAGTGAATTTACAAGTTCTTGCATTCCCTCTGAGGATTTAGCTTCTGGTAGGTATTATACTCTTTGAAATCTAGACAAAAACAGGAGCACAAAATCTCTCATGACAGATAGTTCTAGAAAGTAAGTAGTATAAGGTTTTAGCCATGGGTGATGGACTTCCCCAATGTTCTTAAGAATCAGTCAAATTCTGTTGAAGTTCAGACATAAAATTTTCCCTTTTTTCTTTCCAATTAATTTTTCTGCCCAGGGGATTCATTTTACAACCAAAATTAAATTTTCAGCCCTATTTTTAGGGCCTTTGTTACAGAACTGCGGTGACCTCTAATTCCAGGCTTAACCTTAGTGGCAGAAATTGAAAAGCTGCTGAGAGATTCATGCTCTGTTAGACTCTTAAAAGGAAAGAATTTGCTTTTTTTTTTTTTTAAATTCTGTACCGTGTAATTGCCCATAAAATCCATTTGTGGGGTGGGGAATGAAAGCAAAAACCAAAGGACATGTTTATCAAGGTACACTGTGTCACGCACATGCCTAGTGAAATACCGAATGTACCCATAAAAAAATAAATGACTAGAAATGACAACTTCAGCAACACTATTTTATCTCTGCTGTATTGGTGAATTGTTTTCTAAAATAATCCTAAAATATCATTTATGGGTTTAAGTTGTGCTGTACATGAAACATCCTGTCAGTCCAGTTGGAAATAGCTGCCACCCTCAGGCTTATACGTGGAGAAGGTGCTTGCTCTGAATATCTCAGTAGTTAACTATATCGCCCCAATCTCACAAGTGTCATCTGCATAGATACCACACCATCAGTAGGCCTACCTGTTCACTAGCAATGCTCTCCATTCCACCAGTGCTCAGCAGTAGGTGCCAAGGACCACGTCTGCCCATCCTGTCTTGGTTCCCCACCACAGCACTGGTATATAGCACTCTATCCTGCTCAGGGCAGCTGCATGATATGCTTGGCCCTGTGTAGAGGAGGGTCAAGTTAGTACCCAGGACTGATGAGGCAAGCCAGTTTTGTTCAACTTGAACATAGGGGTGGTGTAGAACAGCTGCAGGGAGCAGCAGGGAGCACCTGACAAGCCTCAGTCCTTGGATGCCTTCCCCACATAGCATTTCAAGTGATATAAACAACAGGGAGGACTGATTTCCAAACATGATTATATTTCAAAATGCAAGCTTTTCATAAATAGTGAAGTAGATTTTTCATTGGATAACTATGAAAGAGAATATATTAACATGAAAAAAGGACTACAGGTAATGAAATGCTCAAAATCATAATTCACTGAATTTGATTTTTCTTTCCTCTCTTGTTTTCTGTTTTCCCTTTAAATTTTTTTGTTCTTTCCATCCATTTCTTCAGTATATGTGGAAATATATTTTCCTTGCTTTAGGTAACTAATTAAATTAGTGTAAATAAAGCCAAGTGGGATATTTGATTAGCTTTCTATACATTTTAAATAAAATAAAAACTCAACGTTACCATTGAAATCTACCCAATGACTTTATAGACATACACAGGCGCCAAGGACCCAAGTGCAACCAATTATGACTAGTAAAAATCAGATATATACAGATTAGAGATGCGTGTGCCAACATCTCAGTAGCAAAAACAATGAGTCTTTCTGCAAGGAAAGGTTAAAAACTAATTCAATTTTATGCCTTACAGGGCTTATACTGAGTTCAAAATTGTATAACTATATTAATTCAACTGTGAACCTAGAAACTTATAGCCACTTATGAAAGAGATGTACTCTTGCTCTGGAGTGTGTTACTGAATATGTTAAAGGTGTAATGAAATGCTTCTTCTAATTGTGTAGTTACTAAAAATTTACTTCATATTAAATAGTAGAGGTGATAAACATTACCAGTGAAATCTACCTGATGACTTTATATCCATACTCAGGTATAAGGATCTGAGTGCAACCGACTGTGGCTAGTAATAATCAGCTACATAGAGATTAAAGACACATGTGCAAACATCTAAGTGT